AGGCCCGCCGCCGTCCGCCCCGGCGGCTCGGGCCCCGCCAGCCCCCCGCTGCCCGCTCTGCGGGCCTCGCGCCCCTGCTCACCCCCCGCGCGCGCCCCGGCGCCCGCGCTCACGCACGCGACCCCAGGAGCAGTGCGCCCGCGCCCCTTCTATCCCCGCGGGCACCGGCGCGCAGCGCCCCGAATCCCGCTGCCGCCGCCGGCCCTTACTCGGTGCCTCTGCCGCTCCGCGGCCCCTCTTCACCTCCGCCTCCCTCCCCGCCGCCCGCGCGGGTCCAAGCGCTGCTCCCCGCGGCCTTCGTTCTCGCCCCCCCACCGGCCCGGGCTGTCTCTCTTCAGCCGCCGTAACCGCGGCCCGGCCCTCCGCCCCTCCTCTTCGGCCCCCTCCCCCTTAATAACTCCCTCCACGCACCCGGGCCCCGGCACCGCCTTCGCCGCCGCGCGCCCGGATGTGAGGTGGCTGCAGTGGTGCCGGGCGGAAAGGAGAAACATCGTGGCGCGCTTCCCGGACGGCAGCCCCTGCGCGGGCCCGGCAGCCGGGAGGCGGCGGGAGGGAGGAGACGGCGGCGGCGGGGAAGAGGCCGCGGTAGGGGCGGCGGAAACCTGTCCCGGTGCGCGCAGGCGGTCGCCGTGGGCAGCCCGGGGGAGGGCGCCGCGTTCCCACGCGCGCTGCGCGGGAGTGGGAGGGGAAGCAGGCGGTGCCTGGGACCCAAGAGCCGCGCCACGCCACTCTGGGAAGGCGGCGGCGAGGTGGTCCTGGGTCAGATACCGGGCGACCACTGTTGCGTTTGCACGGTTCGCGCCAACAGAGAAGGCTTGGGCTTCGGTAGTGGGAATCTGGGTTAGGAGAACTTGCGAATTTTCGAGCCTTCTCTGACTTATCTGAGTTTCTAAGATGGTCTCTCTGTAGATTTATGAGGGTTAAACGAGATTACTGGCTGCTGCATTAATAAGCAAACTTGCCACGGTTGCCTTTGATAGACAATAAAGGCAACTGAGAAATTCGTTAATTTTTTTCCCGCCCATAACCTGCATGGGAAGGGGAAGTGCGAGTGTGGTTGGGAGAATGTGACATGGCAAACATGTGCCTAGCACGTAATGCTGAAACTCTGGGGGGCAGAGGAATGCAAATACGTGAGCAGTGCCAGTAACTGCCAAGCTGGGGAAGAGGTCATTTGTGAGCCTGGTCTGCAAGAGTGTCCTAGCGCTGTGTTTTGCCCTGTGGGACTGCCCAGAATTGACGTGAAATGATACATGGGCGTAAAGGGGAATGCAGTTTTTCCCGTTAAAGGGCAACGAAGCCCACAGTTCTTTCAAGAGGCCTAGTTTCTTTGAACTCTACTTTCTTAACTTGTGAAATTAGGGGGTTGGGCAGTGACCACTATGTTCCTTTCTATGAGTCTTGGCAACAGAGAGAACAATGCTAACGTTTTTCTTTTCGTCTGTAATATTGAATAAAGTGTGTTTCTTACAAACTATCCTTTTTCTGCAGGCAAGAGGTAGAGGGAAACATTTGCAAGTGGGGCTTGAGTTTGCATCCCATCTCTGGCACTTCCTACAAGGTGTGGAGTTAGGCAATTTGTCCTTGGAGCGAGCCTTGGTTTTCTCATCTGTAAAGCTGAGAAGATAACCCACTCACAGGGCAGTTGTCAGGGTTAAACAGGATAAGGTGGGTAAAAACCTTGTAACCTCCATAAAGCTGCTGAGCTTTTATTTTTAAGCCTATGCAGAGATACATTGCAGGTGATTAATGGTCATTTTTATTTTAAAAATCAGGCGGCTTTTACAATCCAAGTTCTTCCTAAAGTGGGTAGAAGCAGGTCTAATTCCCTTTAATGTCGTGGAGACTTTTCTAGAGTAGTGGAGAAGGTTTATTCTTTGAAGCTATTAAAGCCTGGCTCTGTCAATTAGTGTGAAACCTAAGGCAGGCATTTTTACCCCTCTGGAACTCTGGATGTGTCTTCATCTTTCAGAAAGGGATAACAGTAGTACCTACTTCTCAGACTTGTAGAGGGAATTAGAGATAACATTAAAAACACTGCTCTGGTTATCTATTGCTGTGTAATAAACCACTCCATAACTCAGTGGCTTCGAACAACCTTCATTTTGCTTCCAACTCTGCAAATTGGGCCAGATCCAGCTGAGACAGCTGGTCTGCTCCATTCAGCATCAGCTGGGGCAGCTCAAATGATGGGGGCTAGGATCACCTGAAGGCTCAGTTACATGTCTGGTGGTTGACCGTGGCTGTCAGCTGGGACCACTAGAGCTGTTGCTGGAACACTTATACATGGAGACTTACACATGGCCTCTCCATGTGGCCTGAGCATCCTCACAATATGATGGCTGGATTCCAAGGGCGAGTGTCCAGAGAGAACAAGAAAGCCAGATGCAATTGCAGTATTGCCTTTCCTAAGCTAGCCTGGAGTCAGTAGTGTCAGTTATGCCATGTGCCACATTCTGTTCCTTAAAAAGGAATCACTAATGCTGGCCTGTGTTTAAGGGGAGGGGACTTCGTCTCCAGCTTTACATGGTAGGAGTGTCAAAGAATTTTGGGCATGTTTTAAATCTACCACAAGCCATACAGGAAATCAGTGCTCAAGGCATTTTAGTTATGATGGTGGCCTGGAACTAATTTCCTGAGCCCTCTGTTGTAGTTGGAACTTACTCTTCCACTAGGCTCTTCTTTGATGTCTTGTAGAACTCTGGGCTCAACTCACTTCTTACCTGTCCTTGTAAAAGACAGTTATTATCTAGGAATAGAAGGTAAACTTCTTTCACCTGTGCCATACAAAAGCTAGGTGCTTATAAATTCTTTTCATTGTAGCTTTTGAATGTTATTCTTCTTGGCAGGAATGATAATTTGTATTCTAAATGCCCCCCTTTGCAACCAATAATCAATTTTCAAATAGTTTGAGAAACTCCTTTGAGAGCAAGAGAGAAAATGATTTATTCTAGTTCTTTACTAAACATTTGTAATTTCTTGGTTTAGGTTCTAATCATTGGTTCAAAGTTTGGCATAAGGAGACTCAAAGGTTCAGTCTGTTGGGGAAGCTGGCAGTCCAAGAACAGTAGAGAAGCAAATGAAAATATTAGAAACCTATGAATTATGAGATCACCTGTGAGAGCTTAATGCTAGGCCATGACCTTCAGCAGCCTCATCTCAGATTAGGATTGCCCTCTGTGAATGGGCTTTTTCCTTCTAAATTTTTCTTTCTCCAGGGGTAATCCCTAGTTCCAAGAAGCCAGGATTTGAACAGTTTTACAGTTGTCACATCATATCCTCAGGTTAAGGACTAGAAAAACAGAAATTATTCATGAACTTCCAGAAGACCACATAGCAAATTATTCGCAGAGCCTAGACCCATGCTGGTACTTCTTATCTTTGATTTTGTATGTGGGAAGTACTTAATACAGATCCTGACACCAAATAAGGGCTACTGCACTAGCTTTTCTATATTGTTATGGTATCTTATAATCTTTCCAGACAGGACTAATTAATTTCATTATAACTCAGATGGAAATACCTTCCATCCCTTTTTAGTCAAAGCGGACAGTGGTAAATGCACATGACCGAAAGAAAGCATCAGCGAATTAGCTCAAGTCATCTAGAAAGAAAGCTTATTGATGCATGCTAAATATATCAATTTATATAATTATATAAAAGTACTTAGTTTAATTTTAAAGTAAATATTAGCGTTAATTAGGACTTTGAAATTTAAGGAATTATTTTAAAACTACTTGGCCACATAAGTTCAGATTTGCCCCTAAAAGGTTGGTTCTGGTCTCTGAAAGTAGTTCTTTTAAACACGTTTTAATTACAAAAATTAACATGTAGAAAATGGAGCAAAAATACAAATTACCTTTGTTTCTAATCCTGGGACACCCAAGTTATTTTTCCTCATGTTTTTAACCCAAAATATTTAAATAATACTAGCTTTTGCTCTCCGCCAGAAACCTCACATGCTTTCAAATGTTTTACAAAGCACAGAAGGTATATCAGAACATCCTACTTACCCTCCCCCACCCCTACTTTTCAAAGATTATCAGAGTAGACCCAAATTAAAAAATTTAACAAAAATTAGGGCTTATTAATTACATTTAAAAGGAAGTGTTATAAGAAGAGATCAATCTGGGATAATTCTAATTCGGAGCTGTGGGACTGTCCCCCTTCAAGTCCAGGTTGTGGCAACCTCCCCCATCCACGCGTGGGTGCGTCCTACCCCACGGGTGCCGGCTTGCAGACCCAAGGAACCAAAAGCCAGAGGACGCCTCCGGATATCTCTAGTGCTTGACCACAGGAGGCGCAAGTGGGGGATCCGCCTCAGAACATCTCTCACTCCTCTCACCTATCAGGAGTAGTAGGAAGCTGAGCTCAGAGCGAAGCGTGTGGGCCAAGGAGGCAAATGGCTTTGTGTAGGACTGCCTAGACAGTGTGCATCCGCGCACCTCGGGGCCAGCTGTCTCCGCGCCCGCTGCATCGCGGCCAGAGGGAGGCGTGCCATCTGCCCGATTGAGGCTGCGCGAGCTCCAGGGTTTGGGTGAGGCGTCCTCCGCGCGCGCCGCGTCGCCATGGAGACGGAGGCGGGGCCGGCGCGGGACTGGCGTCTAGAGGCGCGCTGAGGCGGGAGTGGGCCGCGCGGGCTGCGGCAGTCCTGGCCAAGTCGGCCGGCTTCCGCGGAGACTTCATCCGGCGCGACGTCCGAGTGCTTGGCTTTCCCAGGTACAAGGCCCGGCCCGATCGTCCCCAGCCTCTGAGTGGCTCGGCCTCTTTGGCCGTGAGCCGGCAGCGAGCTTAGGTTCCCCCACCGCCCCAGCTGGGCCTGGCGACTCCCCTGTCCGAGCCTCGGCTTCCTCCTTCTCTAGAAGTTCAGGTGATGCTGCCTACCCACCGGGCTGTGGTGCGGAATTGGAGGAGACATGAGAAGAAGGGGTATCACGGCGCTCGGAGGCCATAGTCCCCGCCCGCGCGGCGCTCCAGTGGTTTCTGTTGGGCGCGTCTCCTCCCCAGCACCGGGGGCTCAGCATCCTCCCGCGCATCTGGTGAGCTCCAGGTCGGTGCGCGGGTGCAAATCAGGGGTTTGCCCGAGAGGGTGTACGACGGACCATGAAGCCTCTCCCGGTGGGAGAGGGGTTCGGTGCTTTTATTTTACAGTAGGCTGTTCAGATTTCTCGTTAACAGGTGGGGAGATGTATAGTAAATATTTGATGAATGATATTAGGAACTTGGGTACAGGCATACCTCATTTTATTGCGCTTAACAGGTTTGTGGCAACCCTGCTTAGTGTAGCCATTTTTCCAACAGCATGTGCTGACTTTGTGTCTCTGTGTCACAGCTTGGTAATTCCGCAATATTTCAAACTTTTATTATTATATCTGTTATGGTGATCTACGATTAGTTATCTCTGATTACTATTGTAATTCTTTTGGGGTGCCCCAAACTGCACCCATATAAGACCTCAAACTTAAGGGTAATTGTATGTTCTGAATGCTCCATCGACCAGCTGTTCTCGCTCTTCCTCTCCTAGGGCCTCCCTATTCCTTGAAACACAACAATATTTAAAGTTGGCCAATTAATAGTCCCGCAGCCGCCTTTGAGGGTTCAAGTGAATGGAAGAGTTGCACATCTCTCACTTTAAGTCAAAAGCTAGATATCATTAAGCTTAGTGAGGAAGGCGTGTTGAAATCCAAGCCAGGCCAGTTGCACTGAACAGTTAGCCAAGGTGTGAATGCAAAGGAAAAGTTGTTCAAGGAAATTAGAAGTGCTACTCCAGGCTGGGCGAGGTGGCTTAAGATTTTATTTAAGTCCTCACCACCTATGACCTGTGGCCCCCACATCAGGATATCCCACCTTTTGAGGCAGGCCAATATATAACTTCCATGTATTGATTTCCAGTTTGTCTACCTAAAATGTACCCCTGCTTTTAAAAACCTTGGCTTGTAGGCCATTGGGGAGTTGTAGTTTTAAGCGTCAGCTGCCTGTTCTCCTTCCATGGCGTCATGCAATAAAAATGCCTTTTTCTCCCGCTGTAACTCTTGGCTTCAGTGTCTGGCTTTGCTGCACTGGGTGAGCGGACCCCAGTTTGGTTCAGTAACAGCGGTCACTGGGAGCTCATTTTGAATATGCTGTCTGTTTAAAGAAAAACTCTAGATACATTTAAGGAAGTTTAACTGAGCAAAGAATGGTTTGAGAATCGGGCAGAGAACCCGTAAAGGGGTTCAGATTGACTCCGTGACAACCGCAATAGGAGTTTCAGGGAGGAGGTCAAAGACCTGGGAAGTTTCCTTAGGTGGTGGTGATGGATATCTTTTTGTTTACCTCTTGAATGGAAACAATTTTCTCAGTTTCTTTTAGAATCTTTTTTGGTGCCTTTGGAAGTAAGTGTCCTATTCGATTTATGTGGTTCTAAAACCAGCTTTTTCTAATTGTGCATGCAGATAAATTATTTTAGGCATTTCAAAAGACCCGCATTTTGGCCATTCCTGCTTAAGATCATCCCGGGTCAGGTGGGTCCACTTTCTAGGAAAGCACACCCCCTTAGTGTTGTATATAAACCCAGCTGGTGTTTATTAATAGTAGAAGTTGGGGCCAGGTGCGATGGCTCATGCCTGTAATCCTAACACTCTGGGAGGCTGAGGCGGGAGGATTGCTTGAGCTCAGGAGTTTGAGACCAGCCTGAGCAAGAGTGAGACCTCCTCTACCCCAGGTCTCTCCTAAAAACAGAAAAAATTAGCCACGCGTGGTGGCTTGCGCCTGAAGTCCCACCTACTTAGGAGGCTGAGGCAGGAGGATCACTTCAGCCCAGGAGTTTGAGGTTGCTGTGAGCTAGGCTGATACCACACCACTCTAGCCCAGACGACAGGGCGAGACTGTCTCAAAAAAATAAAATAATAGGAGTTGGTAACAAATGAAAAATCAAGCCTGATTTTCAAACAATAGGAAAGTAGCTACAATTTTTAAAGCGTGCTGTGTAAAATAGGACCACCAGTGCCAAAGTGCCACCGGATCCTGCAGAAAAACAAAAGTTCTGTGCGAAGCTCCTTGCCTGACCTTACGCAAACCTCCAATCCTCAGAGGAAGAAAAGGCAGTTTTTTCCTGTAATCCAAATCTCTGACCCACAGGGTAAAGACGGAAAACCTATGTTCTAGAAAGAGACGGTTTGAAAAACAGCTCAAGCAAAGTCTAGACCTTCAACCAGAGAGTGGGATAGGTCTGGATTTTTCAGTGGGACTCACCACTTTACATCCAACAGTTTCTCTTGGAATCAGAACACAAGGGGTTCAGGGTTGACTAGGTGCAGAGTCTGGGAGGAATGTTAGATGGTCGGGGTGGGTTGCTCCGAATTCTGCCTACTCCACCACACCTGTTGACTTAAGAGGAAGAGGAAGAGGCTGAGGCATGAAACATAATTTAAAGAGTTTTCTTGAGCCAAAGTGAGGACACCTGCCCGGAAGACGCAATCTCAAGTAACCTTGGATATGAGTTCCATTCGGTCTTTGTTGCAAGCAGATTCTTAAAGGCAAAAAAAGAGGAACAGGGAGTGGGCTGATACAAAGCCGTTTGTCAAGAGTCCTCTTTGGTTTACAGAAATATTGATTAGTGATTTGCTATGCCTCATTAAGGTGTAGAGTGTGGGTTATAGTGTATGGTATGCCATTATTAGATTAATTGATAGCTATTTGTGGTAGTAGCACGCAGTTTCAAAAGATGAATGAATAGCTCAAAGTCTCAAAGTGGGGAGTAGGGTGATTGCTATCTTTTTTTTTTTTTTGGCAACCCGGCTGTTCTGTTGCTCAGTGGCATTATCAAAGCTCACCGCAACCTTGACCTGCTAGACTCAAGTGATCCTCTTGTCTCAGACTCCTCGGTATTACAGATGCATGCCACCAAGCCTGGCTAATTCTTCTATTTTTTGGTAGAGAGGGGATCTGGCTCTTGCTCACGCTGGTCTCAAACTCCTGGCCTCAAGCAACCTTCCTGCCTTGGCCTCCCAAAATGCTAGGATTATAGGCATGAACTACCATGCCTGGCCACTGTTGTCTTTTTTTAAATGTCTCTGTGGGCCTGATAATTTTAAAGGACTTTCATTTCTCAGAGAAAAGTTCTTTTCTCTCATGAAAGGGAGATCTTAAGCTTTCTTTCCTTGCATATTTGGTCTACCCTGACAGTTGGCCTTGGTGCAGGACCTCTCAAATGAGGATTTGCATCCTTTAGTTCTGAGAAACTCCTTATACCTTTTATTATTTTTTCCTCTTTAAGTCGCTCATCTCTCTCTTTCTGGAACTCCTGCTAGTTATATATCTGACCCCCCGATTGAACCTCTATTTTCGACCCTTGTTTCCTATTTCCTTTTGTCTTTTTTTCCCTTCCTATTTCTGGAACATTTCCTTAACTTTACATCAGCCACCTTCTAATGTTTTGGCTATCCTATTTGTTTCTTGTTCTTCTTTTGTTTTCTTTGGAATAATATCCTGATTTTATTCTATGGGTATAATCTCTTATTTCTCTGAGAAAAGTTAACTATAGAAGTTCTTTTTGTTGTTGGGTTTTTCTTGTGTTCCCCACATTGTCTTTGTTTCCTCCATAATTTTAAAAAACTTTTTATTACAAAAAATTTTAAGACATCATCCATTATCAAAAATTATAAACTTTCAATTATTCAACTCAAGAACTGTCTTGTTTCATCTATACCTCTGGAGAAGGTATAGATAATACAGTAAGAATAGGGTGGGCTATCTATTCTTACTGTATTGTTTTTGTTTTAATTTTGAAATATTTTCAGTCTTAAAAGTTACAAAAATGATACAGAGAACTTGCATATACCTTTATCCACATTTATCACTTTTTAACTTTTTTGCCTCTTGGTTTATCATTTTGTCTATGATGGTTGCAAAATGAGGGTTTTCCAGCCCTACCACTTCCTCCACGTTTCTCTGTAGACATTATACGTAAGGGTGAGTCCTCTCTACTCCTCTATTTATCTGTCTGTTCATCTCTTTATTATTTACCTGTACTCATGAATTCCTGTTGTGTTATAGTTTATTATTTTGGTGCTCAAATCTATCATATTTTGGCCGGGCGCGGTGGCTCATGCCTGTAATCCTAGCTCTCTGGGAGCCCGAGGCGGGTGGATTGTTTGAGCTCAGGAGTTTGAAAGCAGCCTGAGCAAGAACGAGACCCTGCCTCTACTAAAATTAGAAAGAAATTAATTGGACAACTAAAAATATATAGAAAAAAATTAGCCGGGCATGGTGGCACATGCCTGTAGTCCCAGCTACTCGGGAGGCTGAGGCAGTAGGATCGCTTGAGCCCAGGAGTTTGAGGTTGCTGTGAGCTAGGCTGACGCCACGGCACTCTAGCCCGGGCAACACAATGAGACTCTGTCTCAAAAAAAAAAAAAAAATCTATCATATTTTATCCGTGTAGCAGTGGAAGAAAGGCTTAGTATGAGTAGCTCCATTTTGCTTCTGACCCCCTGCAGTAATATTTAGGTGAAAAGCTTCTGCTTAGCTCTCTGCAGATAGGCCAGCTAATTATAGGAAGAATTTAGTTTGTAGTTCAACTCTAGAAGAAAGATGGTAATTGTCGCTTTCCCAAAACTAACTGCCCAGGAGATAAGAAAAGTATGCACACGAGTAACAATGTTTTGTTAAAGATTTATAGGCGCATCGTGACCTGACCTACTCATCCGAAGTTAACTGACCAAAAGCAAAGAAGTTTTACAACCTCCACAAACCCTCACTGATGCCCAGATGTCTTTGGCCCTTGGTTACCTCTTGTAACCCCCCGCTTTCACTTTCCCTTAATATAGAAAGGAGCCTAAAGTTCCTTCAAAGTTCCTTCTTCGATACAAAGGATGGTTCTTCAGGACATCAGTCTGCCATCTTCTCAGTTTGCTGGCTGTGTGGATGAAAGTTGCTTTCCTTGCCCCAACACCATGTCTCTTGACTTATTGGCCATCCTGGGGCAAGTGATACGAGCTTGGACTTGGTTGCATCTGCTAAGTTTTTCTGTATAGATCTGTATAAGCCAAAGTGTTCTTTTGAAAAAACATAACCACATCTCCCTTATCACAAGAATCAAATAATTTCCTAACTCATCTAAAAAATTTTAAGTTTATTTACCCTTGTGCACCCGGGAAAAAAAATTTAAGTTTAAAAAATATTTAAAGCTTAAATTTTCCTGATTGTTGTTGTTGTTGAACAGTTGATTTTTAGTTTGTTAAAATCAGGATCCAAACTAGGTCTGTATGTTGCATCTGGTTGATATGTCTCTTAAGTCTCTATTACGTATAGGTTTTCCTCAGTTTCCTTTGCAGTTTATTTATTGAAGAAATTGAGTCATTTGTCCTATGAAGTTTCCTACATCATCTCAATTTAGCTGGTTGCATTTTTATTTTTACCCGGTATTTTTTTAAGTTTGTACAGCAGGTCCTCAAATAATGTAGTTTTTTTCAACGTAATTTTGTTATAATGATGAGAAGAAAAGATTGATTCCTGCCAGAGCCACTGTATGTGTGGAGTTTGCCCATTTTCTCCCCATGTCTGCGTGGGTTTTCTGCGGCACTTTGGTTTTCTCCCACATCCTAAAGATGTTCCTGTTAGGTTCTTTGGTGTTCTAAATTGTTCCCCTCTGAGTGAGTGTGGGTGCACCCTGTGATACAATGGCATCCTGTCCAGGGTGGGTTCCTGCCTTGCCCCCGAGCTGCTGGGAGAGGCTCTGGCCACCCGCAACCCTGAACTGGAATATGTGGGTGAATAATTAAATCTTACTTGTTTTTATTAATCTTTCTTGAATGTATATAGTCACATTTATGTCAGTGTTTAATTTTGGAAGTATTTGGATCTTTATTTAGAAGTCTGATTTTTTTTTTTTTTTTTTTTT